TTTTTTTTTTTGGCTTAATTGTTCTTTCGTCTTCTTCACTCTCTTCATCAGGAGAAAAAGTTGATTTTTGATCTAAAGAGTATCAATAGAGGTTAATTGTATTAAATATTTAGGCATTTTTGGAGTAAATCCCCTCAAATCACACAAGTCAGATATTTGATATCTGAGGAAGACTTATTCTGTGTGCCTACAATGTCAAACTCTTGACCAAATATTAAACCAACTTACACTGTTCATCTCTTAGCTCTGAAGAAAACATTACAATGAACACAACACTTAGAACAGGCAAATGGTTATACACATTTGAATATACATTTATGCTGGCATTTTAACTAATAAAGTGTGGAGAGAGAAGTGAAAAGTGTAGACTCCTTACCAGTGGATACCCAGAGTCCTTAAGTGGATGGGGTCTGGAGGAAATAAAGAAAAATTCAATTATTTTGTACTATACAACACACCACAGTGCTTTTTTTAGGACGTTGTCAACCTACAATATTCTTTGTATAGGCCTAAATGCCCAAACACAAAAGAAACAATTTGACTGACAAAATGGAAGATGACCTAGAGCCTTATCTATTGATAAACTCTGAGACTTTTAAGAGGCAACCCTACATTAGTGGTGGTGTAATCTATCATTCATGTTGATAAATTCTACAATATGGAAACAGTAGTTAGTAGCAAAACTTTTGCATAACACACAACAGATCACAAAAACATACAGTATATAATATAGATTATATATTATATACTGCATATAATATAGACTATATATTAAACATTTTAGACAAAAATAAAACACTTCACCAATCTTAAACACCATACCATAAACAATTTTGGTTACTTAAATGAATGGGAAAATTCAACTTCAGCATAATTTCAGCTATCAAAATGTTTAGCTCCTCAGGGATATTCATGCATCTCTTCAGAAGTTTTCTAAACTTCATACATTTTGAAATATTTAGCTTTATTTTGAAAATCTTGTCCCCATTCAAATGAATGGGAAACTTGTATTTCAGCTATCAAAATGTTCAGCTCTTTAAGGACATTCACTTGATATTCCATTCTAAGATCAGAATCTATTTTAACACCAAGGTTTGTAACAGTCAACTGCACATACCGCTCCAAGGAACCTAAATGAACTGTGGGAAAATCACCAGAGTTATTTGGGCCAAACACTATAACCTCGGTCTTCGTGTCATTTCACTTCAATAAATTTAAAGTCATCCAGTCCCTAACGTCATCAAAACATGCCAGTAATGATACAACTGATGATGTGTCCCTTTCCCTCGTTGGCATATACATCTGCACATCATCCGCATAACAATGAAAAGAACCACCATGTTTTCTGAAAATAGAACCAAGTTGAAGTAAATATAAAGAAAAGAGCAGGGGCCCCAAAACTGAGCCCTGCGGAACCCCAGATACCAATGGGGTAGACGAGGACTCAGCATCAGCAACACGATCAGACATCGTCCTATCCGGCAGATAAGACCTGAACCACTTCAAGGCAGTACCACGGATGCCCACTAACTCCTCAAGTTGAGATATTAGGATGTCGTGGTCAACCGTGTCAATAGCAGCTGTCAGATCCAACAAGGCAAAAATCACATAGCCACCAGCATCTGTTGCCAGCATAATTTCAGCTATTTCAGGTATCAAAATGTTCAGCTCTTCAAGGACATTCATGGTTCTGTTCAGAGATTTTGTAAACATCATACTTTTCAAATATTTAGCTTTATTTTGAAAATCTTGCCCCATTCAAATGAATGGAAAATTCTTCTTCAGCACACTTTCAGCTATTTCAGCGATCAAAATGTTCAGCTCTCCAAGGGCATTCATGCTTCTATGCAGAACCTTTGTAAACATCATAATTTTGAAATATTTAGTTTTATTTTGAAAATCTTGCCCCATTCAAATGAATGGGAAATTTATAATTATGCACACTTTCAGCTACTTCAGCTATTGAAAAACATTCATGCTTCTTTTCAGAATTTTTCAAAATTTAATACTTTTGAAAAATTTAACTTTATTTTGAAAATCTTGCCCCATTCAAATGAATTGGATTATTTTACTTCAGCATACATTCAGCTGTTTCAGCTATCAAAATGTTCAGTTCTTCAAGAACATTCATGCTTCTATTCAGAACTTTTTATAAATTTCATACTTTTGAAATATTTAGCTTTATTTTGAAAATCTTGCTCCATTCAAATGAATGGGAAAATTCTACTTCTGCACACTTTCAGCTATCAAAATGTTCATCTCTTCAAGGACATTGATGCTTCTATTCAATTTTTCTAATTCTCATACCTTTGAAATATTTAACTTTATTTTGAAAATCTTGCTCCATTCAAATGAATGGGAAAATTCTACTTCTGCACACTTTCAGCTATCAAAATGTTCATCTCTTCAAGGACATTGATGCTTCTATTCAATTTTTCTAATTCTCATATCTCTGAAATATTTAGCTTTATTTTGAAAATCTTTCCCCATCCAAATGAATGGGATAATTTTACTTCCGCATACATTCAGGTTTTTTGGGTGAAAATGCATTTCTCTATTTTTAATATAATACTGTGTGCTTGACTGATGTGATCTGATTATCACTCACGTTGAATAATTTCAAAGAGCCCATAGCATGCCTTTTCTTGTTTTCTGACTTATTTAAAATGTTACAACTGTGAATTATCATCTTAGACATGACCTAATGCTAAAAAAAATGTCTGTTACTTCTGTGCAGAAGCAACGCGGTTTATACAAATCTCCCCAACTCTCGCTCACTAGACTTTTTTCTAACAAAATTAAGTATTACACAATAATTTAAGGATTTCCTGGAATGCTCATAAGTTCCAGGCAGTTGCACATTCATATGAGCTTGCCTAACATCCACTGGTGTCATTTTAAAAGCGGAATTTTTCGACTGTGCACAGTTTTGTGGATATATTTTATCTCCTCCTGTACTAATTCAAGATAGATAAACGTAGTTGATTGTAGCTAACTTGTAACAAACCTAGAGATCCTGTCTACAAGAGTGAGACTGAAAAATGACTGCACCCTGATCTCAGCTCTCGGTTCAGGAGCTAACACTAGCTAGCAGCTGTCAGCAGATGATACAAAAGCTGCAGATAAATCCATGAACATTAAAGTGGATGTTTGTACACAACTGAAGCATCCACTACTGTACGTAGCTATTCATTTTCTAAAATTAACTTAGATGTATGTAGTGTTTATATCTGTCTATGACTATATGTGGCACTCCACATATGGTGCATTTACCCATAATTCAACATGACATGATGTCAGCTTCACATTCTCTATTAATGGTCCCCAGAGGATGAAACCTTCTGTCCTATGGCAGCACCAGCAGGTTGAAACTCTTGGTCTTGAGTGAGCAACTACCTGATATATTGTCTTGAAATGTGTCCATTATTTTAATTTATGAACACATACATGTGCAGAATTAATGACATTTCCATCAGCCTCAGCTGTAATTTGTGTTTAGTGCTAATTAGCAAATGTTAGCATGCTAAACTAAGACAGTATAAACATCATACCAGCTTACTGAGAACATGTTAACATGCTGACATTAGCACTTATATTAGAAGCCCACTGTTTCTAAGTTCAGCCTCACAGAGCTGCCAGCATGATTGTAGACTCCTGTTCAATCATTTTCCTAAACAATATAATACTAAATGTTGATTTAAAGGAGGACAGTGGACAGTGCATTGGTTTAGGCTGCATTTGTTTGTTTGTTGATTTCCCAGCGCTCCTTTGGATAGTACATGGACTGCCAATAACAGAAATACAAAATGTTACTCATCTAAAATGTAGTTTTTCATAATAAGCCAAACCCAGCTGATAATGTGAACAAATAAAACCCTTAAGCCTCTTTTGTAAATACATTTGAACCAATTGATAATATATTCACACACTAGGATGACATTTAATTTTCCCTCATACCTCTTTTGAAGTGTGTATGCCAATCAAGAAATTTTTTGGAAAGCTGTATCAACATTGTAACAGGCTGATACATACAGTATGAAGCAGAAATGCATGAAAAGGTGCTGTGAACAGGGTGGGAGTTTCTTGGCACACAATTCAGTCAGGGTGTGTTAATATATAATCATCATACCATCTGCCATTTTTCAACTCTCATCTTTCTGGTATTATCTCCTTCTGCAGTCACACATACAGTACACACACGTGGTGGTATTTACTGTGTTGCTTATCTACTAGTATCTTTTTCACTTTGGCTTTTCACAGCTGTCCTCCAACCTTCAGCTTCTCTAGTCCTTCTTTGTTTATTATTTTGACCCACACAGAGCTTGTTGCAACATCAAATACATGAAGCACAATGGAAAAGGACATTCCAAGATCAGTCACACAAATTTTGTTGTCTTCTGTGAATTGTATACACTCAGATTACAGATTAGAATCAGAATCTCAAACTGAAAATGTCAATCTGTGATGCTGAAACATGAATATGATACTTGACAGTGAAGATGATGGCTATAAAATAGATTATGTAATCTGTGTGTGTTCATTTGTGAACCTGCAATGTGATAATGCTATCTTTAACAGCTGTTTTACATGTACTGGGTACATGTCTCTGCAAAATCGAACTATCTCTCAAATATTGTGCTCAGTAATTGCCACAAACCTCAGGTTTTGTTCACTACAAATAATTCGGTCATTAGCCCATGTAAACTGACCTCTCATCCTGAGGCATCTGTTGAGATATGTTTTCTTCATTATTTTACTGACAAAATTGCTAGCAATAAATGGACTGTATTTATATAGCGCATTTTTCCACAGTGTGTTGCACTGGCCAAAGCGCTTTACAGGAGATGATACACCACTCACCCATGACAACAGGCTGCCACACAACAGCTAGTCAAGCCACCAGGAGCAATTCAGGATTCAGTGTCTTGCTCAGGGACACTTAGGCATGCGGGAAGACCGAGAGTCGAAACACCAACTTGCTGGTCAGGAGATGACTGCCCCTACCTCGTGAGCCACAGCCACCCATGCACCCATCATTAGGCAATTCTCCACTACATCTTCTTTTGACCCAGCTGACCTTCCCCTGTCTTCTGCTATTTTCGATCAATTTGCCTGTGTTATCAGAAGTGGTTTTGCACATGAAAACATTGCACTGTTCTCTGGATTTCCTGCCCACAAGAGTGTTCAGGGATGTTTTTGAGTCTATAGGTCCTAGCTTTCTGGCCCTAATTAATTTATGTTTGACTACAGGCTCAGTTCCAGATGCTTTTAAAAAAAGCATTGTCCAGCCACTTCTTAAAAAGCCAAATCTAGATCCTTTAGTGTTTTCAAATTTTAGACCAGTGTCTAAATTATCATTTATGTCAAAAGTTTCAGAGAAGGTTGTTCTTATTCAACTCCAGTCTTTTCTGGCAGATAACGCCATCGAGAAGCAATTTCCATCTGGGTTGAAACCAAAACACAGTACTGAGTCAGCATTATTAAAAATTAATACTGACATTTTGTTGGCCAAGGATGTTGGGGATCTAGTTCTGCTGATGCTTTAGACCTCTCTGCTGCCTTCGATACAGTGGATCATGAAATCCTCATATCTCGCTTGGAGCAGTGTGTGGGAATTTGTGGTACTGTTCTTAATTGGTTTAGATCTTACCTCACGAATAGAAGTTTCTCTGTTAATATTGGTAACTGTTCCTCCTCTTCAACTATCCTCTCTTGTGGCATCCCCCAAGGCTCTGTACTTGGCCC